GCGGGGCCCCCCCCGCCGCCGGCTTCCCCCGAGGCTTTCAAAGCCGCGGAGGGGCTCCGGCGGCGGTGCATCCGGCGTACAAGACGACCCCCGATTTTGGGGGGATGTTTTTTAACATCAGAGGTCGTCTTGTACGCCGGAATATACGGTATATTTGTAGACTGTCTTCTTGTTACCCTTGATATCTCTAGTTAGATGAAGCTTATTCTATGCCTTGGCCTTTCTAACTTTGCACCTACATACTTATGTTATTTGTTTACTAGTAGATGTAACTGGCGTGCCTCAAGTCCTTAACTCTTTGTTTTTTAAATAAAATGAAAATGTACATGACTTAAATGACTATTTTTCAAAAAATTCAGTGTTATTTTTATGACGCTAATTTTTATTTTGGATTTCTTAAAAGGGATTATTAATTTTTTTCCATGTAATTGTTTATTAGTACAATTTTTAAATGGAAATTCCAAGTGCATTTTTCCTTCATCCCTCTAAACTCTTATCATTTACTAAGTTTTAACAAAAAAAGGGCTATAGTCAATGTGGTTTGCAATAACATTTTCTCCTAGTTGTCAAGCCTTAAACATTGATTTAGCTGTGCCAAAACAGTGCACTGCTCCAAATGTGTCTTTTTTTTTTTTTTTTTTTGGTAAGGTTTATTGAGAAGCAATCCTATTTCAGGTTCATCTGGCTCATCGTTCAGTCCAGGGGCTGAAAGTAACTTAGGCCAGATCTACACTGCAGGAGGAAGACTGGCTTAAACTGCGCATCTCCAGCTATGTCAATAACATAGCTGGAGTCAATGTACCTTAAACCAAACTTGGCACCATCTCCACAGCAGGAAGTCAATAAGAGAAGTCATCCCGTTGACTTCCTGTCACGAGGAGTACCCGCTAAACTGAACTCCGGAAAATTGATCCTTCGGTAAACCTTAAATTTCTTATGTGCACTGTCATATTGCAACCCCTTGGGGTGTGTGCATGTGTCAGGGTTAGAGAGTGAGCAAGGGCTCAGGGCAGGGGCTGCAGGAGTCAGGGCTGGGGGTGGAGGAGGGGCTGTAGGGATATGGGCAGGGAGCTGTAGGGATATGAATGCTTACTGTGTGATGCTTACCGATTACGGTTAACTGGTGGGGCTGGAGCAGCCCCCTGCTTGCCGTGGGCAGGGAGTTGCTCCAGCATGGCCAAAGTAGCCCCTGTCCATGGCAGGCCCAGCCAGAGCAGTGCATCATGGGTGGGAGTGCGCCACCCCGGCTGGAGCAACCTGCAGTGGGCCTGGGCCAGACATATGAATGCTTACTGTGTGATGCTTACCGATTACGGTTAACTGGTGGGGCTGGAGCAGCCCCCTGCTTGCCGTGGGCAGGGAGTTGCTCCAGCATGGCCAAAGTAGCCCCTGTCCATGGCAGGCCCAGCCAGAGCAGTGCATCATGGGTGGGAGTGCGCCACCCCGGCTGGAGCAACCTGCAGTGGGCCTGGGCCAGACAGAGCAGCGCCGGTTTAATATTTAACCAGTTAACTGATTAAATGGGATTTTACATCCCTAGTTGGGGGGGGGGGGGGGGGGGGGGGGGCCCGGCGGGGGGCGCGCCCCCGCGCCTCGCCCCGGGGCTTTCCTTTCCCCCCCCCCAAAGGGCCCCGGGAGCTACCCAGGAAGGACGGCGGAAGAGACGGGGTGAGCCTCCGAAGAG